TATCAACTAAAAACTATAATGATTATAATTAGTCTACGGAGGAAAGAAAGAAAGAAAGAAAGAAAGAAGTCCCATTAATTATAATAATAAAATTAATTACAAAAATAAATACATTGTAAATATCCAAATATTTATATCCAAATAAAAATAATTAGTTAAAAACTTTAAATAATGATAATAATGATTAGTCTACTGAAAAGCAAACAAAAAAGTGACTACCACACAAGCAAACATGTTTAAAATGCATCTGCATTCCCACCCTTTAATGAGTGACAGAGATGGCAGTGCAGAGATTTTTATCTCTCATAATTAATCACTTGCTTCACAGGCGCTGTCATTTAGATAAATCAAAATCGTGTTTTTAACGTGATGTAATGCCACTGAATAAAGGCCTGTTTGTTGGCAGTGACGTCAGTCGTTGCAGGTGACAAGAGTGGAATGATTTACACAAGCAATTAACTGCAAGTATCTGTGTGAAAGCGAGAGCGCCTGCATCCTCTAGACACCTAATTAGCTAACAAGGAAACTTAGGCTCAGTGTTACACAAAGTCTCCTACATTGCAAGCACGACCTTATTAAAAAATTCTGTCGCCATTAGCAGAAAGGATTTTGGTGCTACACTTCACCAAAGTTGAATTATCTTTCAGCGTGTCACTCAATCCTGCATCCTCTTGCATGTTTGCTGTGTCACATCAGTCTATAAACATGCACACAATGCCAAAGTCTTCCCAAGACAACACTTACATTACACATCAAACATGTTCGCAAAACATGATACATACTGCAACGTTCCAGTCCAACAACTGCATATTAGCTACAGATCTGCACTAATCCAAACACAAAAACAAAGCTTATGCCACTCACACCCTACTGTACATAACACGATGAGCAAACAGATTCTGCCGATGCTAAGAGATATCTGATTTGAAAGTCTGTCTGTTTGATTTTTTGCATAAAAATGAACTTTGCAACCATTTAAGTGTGTGAGTGTGTGTGACTTGGCTCTCAATCTCAGCCTAAAAAAAGTGGCATTTCAACTCAGTTTATCATGTGATCTAAGTTTGATGTGGTCAAACGTGACTAATTGCAGTGTGATATCCCACAAGGCAGCTCCATTTGTGGTAATTTGATAATAACCGCAAGGTTTAAACTTGTACAAACATCAACATGTAAAGTACACGGTGCTCTTTTGTAGTAAAGCCGTGATCGCACACTGACATCGAACCGACATTATTTATGGCTTTTCTTTTACTGTTCCTGTCATCCCCAAACAACATGCTGGAGACAAGGTCCTGTCATGACAGTCGGAACAGTGCACATTCACATGTAAATAGACACCTTTATCTCTCTATTGTGTTTGCACACATGGACCTCCTGAAGCTGGTATATCCCACCTGAATAATTCAGTACTTTATTTCAATTACATTTCATGCTATTCTGCATGTCTAACAGGTGCTGCCCTGCAAGTTTTCCATTTTAATATTTTTCCATTTTAAATTAATTATTAGATTTAGAGATATTATTTAGGCACATATCAAAGCAGAATCATTAGTACAAACTTCTTTTGAAAAGATACACACTGCCTTTCAAGGGTTTGGGGTCGGTAAGATTGTTTTAATGTTTCTGACAGAAGTCTCTTATGCTCAGCAAGGCTGCATTTATTTGATAAAAAATACAGTAAAAACAGTAATATTGTGAATCATTACTACAATAAATAACAGTTTTCTATCAGAATACATTTTAAAGTGTAACTTATTCCTGTGGTGGCAAATCGGATTTTTCAGCAACAATTACTCCAGTTTTCAGTGTCACATGATCCTTCAGAAATCATTCTAATATGCTCATTTGCTGCTCGTGAAACATTCTCTATTATTAATGAAAACAGTTGTGCTGCTTAATATCTTTGAATAGAAAGCCTAAAGAACAGCATTTAATAAAAGTAGAATTTTTTGTAACATTATAAATGTCTTTGATATCACTTTTGATCAGTTTAATGCATTGATTTATTTATTATTATTATTGAAAATAACACAAAATTCTACTGACCACGTAATTATATACAAATACTGGAATATGTTTGTACTGAATATCTATCTATCCATCCATCCATCCATCTATCATATTTATTGAAAAGAATATTTAAACTTTCTTTAAATTAACACAATTATATACACAATGTATGCTTGTACTGAATACTGTGCTTTTATTAAATAATTTTTTTCACTGCCATAATTTTCCTTTAAATTCAGATAATAATTTAAATTATACATACATTTTATTACAACATTGAATGTAAAAAAAGTGAAATGTTAAAAGTGTAAAATAAAGAGGAAAAGGATAAAGGCAGGGATGGTTTGTCGAACTCTACATATGTGCATATATATATATATATATATATATATATATAAACACACACACACTCTCTCTCTCTCTCTCTCACACACACACACACACACAATCATTCCCATTTTAATTGGTCATAATTACAGAGAGTGACTGAGATCTTAGAAGAAAATCAAATGTTCAAACGTTGTTATGCAACATTAGACCTGAACACCCCATGACTTTATTTCAACTCAATCACAGTTCATTACAGTCTTTATGCTTGTCGTCCTTCTGTCATTTCTCCATCTGATTTATTTGAATAACTTATAAACAAGACTATAAATGCTCACAGACAAAGACAGAATGTGCATGGAGGAAAAAAAGCACATCACTTTCTTCCCAAAACATTCCTTTAAGCATAAACGAATATCCTACAAAAAACCACCAAGCGGTACTCTCAAACAAAATAGCACTTTGCTGACCCCTGTGTGCAAAAACTGGAAACCGAGCATGTGTGTGTATGTGTTTTCTCTGCCACTCTTTCTGCCATATCCAAACAAAGTGCGGTGAGTAAAAAATGTAAACTACAATCAGAGAGTAGCAGTGATCTACCACTTCATTACTGCGGGCACTGATTGAAACACCTATCTTTAATGAACACTCACGGCAAATGCACACACTTACAAGCCTAAACTGCTGGTGTAATTAAATCAAGCTTGTTTATTTTTCCACATAGCAATCCTGATTGCGGTTGTCGTAGTATAACAGCAATCTTTAAATATGAACTATACTCTCCCTTAGTCCTATGTCTATGCTTAAAGTACTGTTTATTCGGCTGAGGAGCCACAGCGGTACAAAATTCATTGTGACAGTGAACATCCTGCCGTTATCAGTCATCACAGCAGATGATCCTCCTGATGGGACACCCAGAACTCCTCCCATTCAGTATAATGGATGCCTGTCTTTTGGCCAGCGTTTTGCAGTGAGTTTCCACCTGAATTATTTAGTTCCATATTACGGCAGCTGCTGTATTTAACAGACCGTTTTCAGCCCACAGGTGCAGTCTGGATCTTTCCATCCTACTGACTTACAAACCTACCACTGAAGCTCATGAATCATTTTAGGTATTCAAATACCTCCAAAAGGTATTTGAACAGTTAAGCCATTTTTAAAAATGTATGAATGTATTTCCATTATATAACAAAATATCAAACCAAGTCACATTTGTTTTAAAGAAATATAGCTTAAAAACACACAGTAAATTTATCCACCAAAACTGGATCAAAAAAGTGGTAATACTTGAAAAGCACTATTTGTACTAATACATAATACAATGACATTCATTGGACATACATGAGTGTCCAAAAGAAGTCACTGTAGTTATCAAACACAAGTAGTCATTAAATAGTGTAAGAATTACTTGAGGGGCTGTTCACACAAGATGCGTATTTGTGTTTAAAAACGAGAGATGAGGCGGGGTGGAGTTTAAAAAAAAGCACAGTCTGAAGAAGGATTTAACAAAAAGAGTGCTGTGTCATGTGATATACTGCAAAATATGTCTGTCAAAAACGCATTCTGTGTGAATGGCCCCTTAGCATGATTTTGTTTGCACTTGACAGCAGGAAATCAAAAATGACTATTCATTTTCTTAATAAAATGTCTCTGGTCTTATTGTGGATGATTCATCAGTGCATGTTGTTCAATAAAAGTTTCCATGATCTCTCATCAGATGTAGTAACTTTTCCTGCTTCCAAAATTACTTTCATTTTTCTTCCGTAACAAATGCCACACGAGTGGGGTAAAATAATATTAACCAACAATATTACACCACGCAACGGAAGATAAATGGTTTGCGAAAAAATGCTTTTCAAGGATTTCACCCAAAAATTTAAATTCAGTCATCGTTTTCTCACTCTCATGTAGTACCAAAGCCGCATTACTTTAAGGAAGATGGTGAGTAAACGGTGACAGAATTGATTTTTTGGATGATCAAATCTTTTAATTACCGGTCAGTATAATTATTCCAAAGAACTTGTTTTATGGAGCATTCAGTTGTTTTCTTTGTGTGGTTGAAACATAATAAGCTCCAGCAAAAAACATGACATTGTTGTTTCTCTCTGATACCCAGCTGAACAGATTTAATTGGTTTTTCCTGTGACTGAACTCATGAGTAGCTGATGCAAACAATATCAACAGAAATGTCTCATTCGTATCCCTCCGAATTATCTTGTCCCTATTCTGCTTTTGATCTTCTTATTCCATCATCTTCCTCTCTCCCTTCCTTTCCCTCACTTTAACTGCCGTTTGTTCTTGTTTCCCATAAATTACCCTGTGGAGCACCCACACAGAAGTTCACACACACCATGATGTCCAATGCTCTGACTAACATCCCCCTGATCTCATCCCAGATGACTAGACATTAGGGGTGTGGGTAAAGGAACAGAGAGTGAAAGAAAGTCTTCTCTATTTGGTTAAGAGTTTTTTTCTTTCCAAAGTATTACTTGGATGGGGTCATTTGTTCACCTCACAGACACCAAGAAAGAAACCAAAGTCATTATGAAACAGTTTGTGTCTGTCCAGGAGGAGAGTTTGAGAGTCGACAGACAAAGAGCATCTGTGTGACTGAGAAATATTGAGAAAGTAAGCTAGAAGTTGGGAGAATGAGAGAGTTTTACCTTGACGTGAGACTGTGCTCCAAGGTTGTATATTTCAGTGGGTTTGACTTCATTGATAATCTTTACCAAGCACGTGCTGTCAGTCAAGTCTCCGTAGTGCAACTTCATGTCTATAAGGCACAGAATAAAAGAATGAATTTCATTCCTCTTAAATGTGACCGAGCAATCTGAAAAGTTTGAAGTTTAAACATTTTTTCCTCCACATCGGCTCAAGTTTAAAGATTGTCACTTAAGCGAAAACAACCAGAGACCCAAAACAAAGAGGTCATATCCATGTCTGAAATGTTTATTAAATTGTTCGCGGATCACAAAAACAAAAAAGGAGAAATAACTGGAGAATCTATTTCTAGATTTTTGTGTAAAACTTTGAATTTAATTTTATTTCATTTTGCTTTCAAAGCCAAATACAGACTGAAAGACCTATTTGAATGGCAAATGTTTTATACAGGGACTAATAAGGGATTTTATTACAATTTCAATCAAACTTCTCCCACCATTCAGGAGAAAATTCCTGGTTAAGTTAAATTTGGTCATTTTATATGGATGAATCAGTTCATATGGATGAACTGGGCCTAAACTGACACTTTTATAATTAGAATTTGGATATTTTGGCACAAAGGAAGCTGGTTTCCGTAAACTAACCAACTAACTTTCTGTACATAGTACAGTAGTCACCTCTAAACCTGTGAAACTTTTGGCATCTTTCAGCTGTAACCTAGTATGTACTGCATTTTCCCACTGTATGGCACTATAACTGTCTAAAACTGGCATTTTTTTGTATACATAATAATTTTGGAGAGTGAATTCTGTCGTAGCCTTTTGAATTTGAATTCTGTCGTAGACTTTTGGCACTCCCATAAATAGGGAAACTCTTGTTTGTACAAAACAGGATTAAGCACTTAAAAGAAGAGTGACAACCATATTTAACTGCATTGTGTATATGACATCCCCTATATGAATAAAAATAGAAAACTTATTTGTCTTCCCTGTGATTAACTGCAGTCCAAATGCATGAGTTTTATCACAGAGGAGCCATACCAATGATTTTCTCAGACTTCACCCCAAAAAAATAATTACAGTCCAAATATTGCTTAGGAATGTTTAGATTGCAACCGTAAAGGAAAATACCTTAAAAATAATTAAAAATACTGAATTAACAACTTACAACGCCCAGTGGATCCAATGCCTAGTGATATTTTACACAGATTAGAAGACATTTATGCATTTACAAACGTCATAAAACATGCATATAACAGCCAGGTGTGTTTATGTGAAACTCACTTCCTTCTGTGTGTGTTTGAGGGTTATGATAAAGGTGCTCAATCCGGCCCGTGTTAAAAGAACTGGACCTGCGAAGGATACCGTGAACCTGCCCAAAACAAAAACAGTTCCAGTCTTTTAAGTATATAAGATTTTAAACTGAATTTATGTACACGACTGTTCAAAGGTTTGGGATCACTAAGGTTTTTATAGTAGTAGTAGTATACATTTATTTAATGCCATGTCAGCATCTAAGGCTATTTTCATGGCAAAAACTATTTAAAAATACAAGTATAACAAATACAAAAAACCCAGCAAACAAACAAACACAAGTTATATTACACAAGATTTTTTACATTAACATATGATAAAAATCCGAAAACTTTTTCTGCTATAATTATACTAAATAACTCTTTAAGCGAGTTCGCTTCATAAAAGAGTTTTCTACATACATTAAAAGCTGGACAGTCCAATAAAATATGTTTGACAGAAAGGGGAATCTTGCAGAACATGCATTGAGTAGGGTCTTCACCTTTAAGCAAAAATGCATGAGTCAGTCTTGTATGACCTATGCGACATCTGGTAAATACCACTTGATCAAATCTAGTTTTAAAAGAGAATAAAAATCTGTTTGAAATTTCCAGATGTATTTCATGTAATTTATTATTTGTACATGTATCCCACTCTCCTTGCCACTTATTTAATATATAACGATTAATAATAGGTCTGATCTCTGAGGGAGGAATTTGACATGTGTTTACTTCCTGATTAAAAGCCTCCTTTGCAGCTGCATCAGCTCGCTCATTTCCTGAAAGCCTAACATGGCCTGGAACCCCAGCAAAAAATAATACAATAGAATTGATTCTGTAGATGGTCCACTTTGGTTAAAATACAATCGATCAAAGGACGTTTTTAAAGAGTCCATTACTTGAAGGCATGATTTAGAGTCCGTAAAAATTATAGAATCCTTTTGTTGTGCATTTTCAATATATTCCAAAGCTAACAGCAAAGCACATGCTTCAGCTGTGAAAATTGAACACTCTTTTGAAATACGAATTCCATAATGTTGCCATCCTAAGTTTTTTATTACGAAACTAATACTTTTATTTAGCAAGGATACAGTAAATTGATCAAACGTGACAGCAAGGATATTTAAAATGTTACAAAATATTTTTTAAGTAAAAGCTGTTCTTTTGAACTACTGATCAAAGGAATCCTGAAAAAAATACCTAAAATGTTACTTTAAATTGTAATAATATTTCACCATATTACTGTTTTTACTGTATTTTTGATTAAATAAATGCAGCCTTGCTAAGAATAAGAGACTTCTTAAAAAAACATTAAAAAATTGACCCAAAAATTGAACAGTCAAATATTTCTTTATCTATTAAACCTTTAAATGAGATGCAACACATTTTAATTGAAATCTTATGAACTTTCAAATTTGATTATTAACAGACAGTGAGATATTTGCATCAGATAAATGTGGGAATGATTTCTGACGGGTTTGTAGCATGCCTTTAAGGGTTACATTGGCTTACCCACCTTATAACCTTTAGCCAGCAGAAACTCAGCAAGGTAGGACCCATCCTGAAACCACATAGAGGGAGAATTATTTTGGGCTTTGAGAAACACACACACACACATTTACGGCAAGCATTACCCAAGAGAGTATTCAACACAATGACCATTTCTTTCAGAATTTCATGAGCCAGACCGCAGCGAATACATGCCTACATTACACAAATACGCGTTTTTGCACACGTACGCACACACGCTTGTGTCGAAACTCACCCTTGTGTCTTTCCAAAGCTCTATGACTTTATTTCTTTCAAGCAACACAACTATTTTTGCCCCAGTGGATCCAATTATATGGACAAAAAATACATTTTTCTAAGTATCTTCTTTTGTGTTTAACAGAAGAGAGAAAGTCAAACAGGTTTGGAACGACATGAGGCTGAGTATATGATGACAGAATTGTCATTTTTTGGCAAGCTATCCCTTTAACAGCAGAGAAATAAAACTCCCCTCACTAAAAAAAGCTCCATACATAGTCTGCAAAGAAAACAGTCAACAAGACAGCTAACAAATAAGTAAGGAGTGCCTACGGGCTACAACACACACCGAAAGCGCCAGTGTAATACAAGATTACTGAATCATCCGAGCGCATTACACACACACACACAGACACAGACAAAAGAGTATTAATTGAGCAAACAAGGCCATCGTGTCAGTCAGTGAAAGCCTGACAGCTCAGTTTAAGCCTCTGAATCCACCTGACTGTCAAAAAGTGACACGGCCGTACCCTAAAGACACGTTTTAACCTAAGACATAAACAACTTTCGAGTCTCTTTCATTCTCATTCTCATCTCCTTCTCGTTCTCCCTTTTTCCCCTCTCATACTTCCAGACCGCACATTTTAGAACTGTGGAACATTCCGCCCCGGCCATGGCATTCCGCCCCCTACTTCCTGCTGGGGTGATATAGGCACAGTCCCAAAGACCTTTGGGGAAAAAATGAGAAGCTCCAGCAGCAGTGTATGTGCCTGTATATAAGTATATATGCCCGCAGAGGAAAAGATGTGCTTAAAGATACATTTCCGTTTCCTTTTCACACCGTTCACTGGCCATTTACATAAAACCTGTTCAATGTCCGACCACCTGAGGCTCTGTGTGTGTGTGTATATGTGTGTGACACAACCAGTGCCAACTGCAGCGCAGACTCATAACCCTGATAAAAAGCAGCTTATCGTCATGCTGAGACTTTTGGGAAACGTTGCCTGTTTCCCGCAGATTACGTTCATAGACAGGAAACCTAGACGGACACGACATTCCAACCAGTCTGTGCATACGCACACACAGGCCTACCTTAAGCCACCAATCCCTTTCAGTCTGAATTATAAAATCTTTCAAATAAATCCGTTTTTAATTCTTAATCATCTCTTATTTTGAGTCAAACCACATGTGCGAAACATCTCAGAAACGCTGACTAATTTAGAAAAACTTTCCATTGCAATTACAATCACCCTTGCGCACCACATAAAGATAAATCTATAGGCCTTTAGACCTCTGCACGAGACGCAGGCTGATTGCTAATGGCAAACTGTGGATCCATTTATGCTGAGAAAACCAGAATGGTAAAGGAAAGAATGAAAGCTAATCAAATAAGCCCACTTAACTTGCCCAACCAAACCAGTCCGTGTGTCTGTCTCTCTGTCAGTGTACGTACTTCGTGTTGGTTTGTCTGTGTGTAAATAGGTCCCTTACCTTTGCCCTTGACCTCAGTAAAGCAGTCTTTCTCTGTTTACCACCTCAAAGCACAAATCCAAACAAACAGCTGTGTTCCTTTATTAACCACAAGTGGGCGCAACAACTTTAACATAATTAACTGCACACATCAACAAAATGCACACAATTAAAGCGTTTTACTATTAATTTTGGTTATGGCAACTGCCTTTGAAATATGCTGTAATTTGTATCCAGTAAGGGTTTTATAGTGACAGACCTACACCAAATTATAGTCTAAAATGTTTAAACTGCTTCCATACATCAGACAGTGTTTGTTTGTTTATTTATTTTCATCTGTCTGAAATAAAATGATTACCAAAAATTACAGTCATGGCCAAAAGTTTTGCAAAGTTTGCTGCTTAAGCTGTTGTGGTGTTCATTCACATTGTTTCTAGATTATTGTGTAGAGTGATCAGATGCATTTCAAATAATTGCTAAAAGCTTCATTGGCCAAAAAAAAAAAACTTTTCACAAAAAAAAAAAAACAATTTCACTGTTTTTTGATCCTGACACAAAATGACCAGCTAACATTAATTGACTAGTCATATCAGCAGCATATGTGAAAGTGTGAATGAATCAGGTGCGGACTGGCCATCGGGAGCACCGGGACGATTCCCGGTGGCCTGGCAGCTGATTTGGCCCGCAGCCCTGTGTTTTCTTTTTCTTTTTAATATTATTAATATGTTTGCCATCTCAATGTACCAAAGTGATCATTTCCGATTTTGTCATTCGCTAATAAATCGCTAATAAATTATAAATCGTCTTGACTGGCAGCGCTGCGCTAAACGAATCAGCTCACGTGTGTTCCACGCTTCCGTCAAATGGTTTCGATCACAGCAATCGATGTGCGGGACTCAATGAATGAGAGGAAGCGGCCAGAAGAAGCAGTGAAATGTAGTGAAATAAATTACTAACCTGTTCAGGGCTTCGAGTGCATGTCAGTTTCATCTCTAATACAATACTGTAGTTTTGTCTTTATTGATCTAGTTGAGTATTAAAGTGCTAGCACCTGTTACGCTGTCAGGAGCACCCCATTATCATCAGTCAGAATACTGTGCTAAAAGACATCATCATTATTAATTGTAAAGTTACATTACTAAATTTAGCAGATAGAGTAACATGTCTGCCTGTTCTGTGTTTCCATTATGTTTTGCTTTGCTCCCCATTTGACCTATGCTGCATCTCAATGTGCCTACTTATACTACACTACACTTTTGGTGAAGAAAAAGTACACACTTTTGAGTGTGTAGTAGAAGAGTAGGCAAGCTTTGGGACATACTAAATCATGAATATCAAACATGTTTGATGTTTACGACTCTTGATCGGGCTGCCTCTGACGTGATACCCGCGATAGCCAATGAGAGCGAGCAAGCGTCACCTACCGGATGTTGCGTGCTTCTATAGCTGAAACTTGGCAGCTACACACATGCCATGAAAGCAGAGAACATCACCCATCTTTGTTTTTCACTGTGAAACAGAATGCGCGATAGGAGAGCCAGCTGACAACGTCAATTGTTATCCATTTGGTTTTCTTCTCTAATCACGTTTGATCTCGCGAGTCTCCGTGAGATCTCGTGTCACTGGGAAATCGTTCCTACAATCGACAAGTATGTGGTCTTGTGGTCTGGTCGAATCGTCTAGTGTGTGCATTCAGAGGATTATAAGGCTAAAAATCGGTTGAAACTGTCTTCATGTCTGTGGTCGCCCATGGTTTTAAAATCGGTTAAAGGTGCTGTATGTAGGATTGACACCGAGTGGTTGAACTAAGTATTGCAGTCCAAATTCAAAATATTGGAGTGGGTTTTTTCACCCGGCCCTTCCTCCTCAGACTTGACACACACGCAGGTTGCCAGATTGACGACACCAACAGGAACGAGCGCACTTGACGATGAATCAAATTAAATACGCTGTGTTTTCCGCCAACTGGCAACCCGGGGTCCCGCAATACAATTGGGTAAACTGGCAGTGGGCGGGTTTCACAAACCAAAACAGAGACCGACAGTCTGGCCCGGAACGCACATTTTCAAAGGAGAATAACTGACTGTAGCATTGTTTTTCAGATAAACAAGTATGTTAACTTAGCATGTTTCTTAAATATCTGCAAACATATTATGGTATTTTTATGCTTTAGTAGAGTCAAAAACTTACATACAGCACCTTTAAGATTTGAAAATCGTCTAGTATGCAGCCAGTCTTAGTCTTCGTACGTTCTCCGTCTATGTTAGGTTGGTTTCCGTGCCGTGGTCTCCTGGAATTATCTAATTAAAATACTTTTCTTTTGATCTCCTTCATCCTTGTGTATTTTGCATCACCAATGCGTGACAGACAGATATTCATGTGGATTTATTGTATAGGAAGGGAGGGAGCTAGAGCAGACAGCAACACAAAAATATGAGTCAGCCTAATAATGCAATAATCAGTTTAAGGATTTTTCAATGTACTAATTTTGGCATTTAGGCACTTTAGAAAATTTGCTTTAATATATTTGTAAGAATTGTTAAATCTTGGGTATAAAGCCAGGCTCACACTACAGGCTTTTTGGCTGCATTTTGCTGTCGCGGACAGATTTCCAGTCTGCGACAAAATCCCCCGGATCGTGACCAAATCGGTGCTCGTTGTGGTCGCCGAAGCTCGTTAAGTATGAGCAGGTCAGCAACGTGATCCGAACCTGTCTGGAGCTATCACAGACGCTACGACATTTTCAAACCTGTTTGATATTATCGCCACGTGATCTCGTAATGTGAGCGACACAATGACAAGGTGGAACTAATCCAGCCAATCACAGTGCAGATGGTATAAACACTCATCATGCATCTTTATGAACAGACATGAAAGGCCACGAATTAATCAAATCAACTATAAATTTAACAAATGCAAAGATTGTGTATATAATACCACATTTCATTGTACGGTTTAATTACCTCCAACTCTTTCTGGAGTATAGAAAGCCATTGTTTCTGCCATATTCTCTTTCGTCGTGGTTTCTTCTTTCTTTCGGATAAAAAAAGACCAATTGAAGGGCCAGTTGATTGTCCATGCTTGACGAAATGGCCTAATAGCAGTAATTTCTCTATAGAATTTATGTGAGAAAACGTATTTTCGCTGATGGTCGGCAATGCCTATTCACTGAATGTTTTGTAGTGTGTGCACCTCGTTAGCGTTGTGTTGTGTAGTATGTGCACAGCTATGACAAGACGACGACAGATGAGAAGAAATATTGTTGCGTAGTGTGAGCAACACAGTGATTTGGCTAGTCTTTCAATCATGTAGTGTGAGCTTGCCATTAGTCCTTTTAAGAGAAATAACATTAGGCCTATGTGCAAACAAATTGCAATGAGGTGTGGTTGTTTTGCAACAAGGTGGACACAGTTCTGTTAATAACAGTAGACCTGCTGGTAAAGAAAAAAGGGAGATGTAGAGATATTGGAGAAAATGAAGAAAGGGAAAAGGGAAGTGAAGGTGCAGTTTAAGAGAGAACCTTTAATTATTTTCCACAGCCCCAGACTAAAGATTTAGACCTTTTTATGTGATGGTCATACAAATAATAAGGCTGGCCGTGTTTCAGAATTTGTTGTAGGATGGCCTGGATGAGTGTGAGATGACCGTCTCAATCACTGTACGTAGTCACGTCACTTGAATTCGAGTGATCACGGTCCCAACGTGCAGTGAGTCAGGGAACTTATCAGTGACTGAATTAGTGTACACGATCTACTGATTCACGAGCTTGGGAGCTGATTGATACGCACCTATTGTGTTCTTGTTGGCAATGGTTACCTCCAAAGGAACACGTGCAGCCAGCATCTCTTTGCATCAAAATGGCCTCACATGCAAGGAAACTGCTACAAAGAATATTGCACCTGAAAGAACCATGTACCGGATCATCAAGAACTTCAAGGAGAGTGGTTCGACTGCAGTGAAGAAGTCTTCAGGACGTCCCAGAGTGTCCAGCAAGCGCCAGGACCTTCTTCTCCTGAGGAGTCAGCTACGGAATCGTGGCACCAACAGTGCAGAGCTTGCTCAGGAATGGCAGCAGGTTGGTGTGAGAGCATCTGCACGCACAGTGAGGCCAAGACTTTTTTGACAATGGCCTGGTGTCAAGAAGAGCAGCAAAGAAGCCACTTCTCTCCAAGAAAGATGTCAAGGATAGACTGAAATTCAGCAGGAAGTACAAGGATTGGACAGCAGAAGACTGGTGTGAAGTTATTTTCTCTGATGAAGCTCCCTTCTGACTGTTTGGGACATCTGGAAAATTGATTGTTCGGAGTAGAAAAGGTGAACGCTACCATGAGTCCTGTGTTGTGCAAACAGAGAAGCATCCTGAGACCATCCATGCGTGGGGTTGCTTTTCAACCAAGAGTGGGCTCTCTCATAATTCTGCCCAAAAACACTGCCAGGAATAAAGAATGGTATCAAAACATCCTGCAAGAGCAACTTCTTCCAATGATCCATGAGCAATTTGGTGATGATCCGTGCATTTTCCAGCATGATGGAGCACCAAGGCACAAAGGAAGAGTGATAAAGAAGTGGCTTGAAGTTCATCACATTGAAATTTTGGATCTGTGGCCAGGCAACTCCCCAGATCTCAATCCCATAGAGAACCTGTGGTCAGTCCTCAAAAGGTGAGTGGACAAGCAGAAGCCCACAAATTGTGATCAACTCTGAGGACTAATAAGGCAAGAATGGATCGCCATCAGTCAGGATTTGGCCCAGAAGCTAATATCCAGCATGTCAGAGCGAATTGCAGAGGTTATGAAGAACAAGGGTCAACACTGTAAATATTGACTCTTTTTTTTTTTTTGCCAATTAAAGCCTTTAAAACTTATGATATGCTTATTATTGTTTTCAGTGTACCTTAGAAACATGTGGAAAAATAATCTACAAATACTGAAGCAGCAAATTTTGCAAAACACAATTTATGTCAATGCCAAAACTTTTTAAACTCTGCAGGACAGCGGCACTCCAGGACCGACGTTGCCTATCCCTGACGATTTGTGTCATTCGAGCGCCCTCTGCTGTTCATCAAGCAAACTGCATCCTGACTTTTTACTATGTTGTCGCCAAATTCCGCTTGAGCTCTGCTCACGTTAAAGCTTCTATCATGAAACGAACCAGGAACTTCCCTCTTCAGTCTGCGAATGATAAACACCACGTACTGCAAACATTCAAGTTGCCCAAGAATCTTCTCACCACATACACCCAAGCAAACTTTACTTACAAGCTGGTCTTTCTAGTTAATCAAAAGAGTTCAAAAGAATCTAAATAATTATTAATGTCGTGTATGCCCCACTTGGCATCTAATGCATTAAACCACGCCAGCAGTGATGTTCTGATGCACTTCAATGCATGTGAATTATTGTTTCTTTTTTTTAGATAAAATACTGACTTTGCATTAAAAAAAAATTTACCCACACATTTATGTATGTATGTGTGTATCATCTCATGCACACCAACACACACGGAAAGGAATCAAAATTAATACAAAATAATTAAAAAGGCATGTCTGTTTCCAACCCAGTTTGTCATTCACCTGCCAGCATCACAACAACTGACAATTAAAGGCAAGGTACTTTCAAGATTCCATGGCATCGTGGCATTATACAGTGGAAGAGACTCTGTACACACTATCTGAAACAGACATATTTACACAAGCTGACATTCCCTCAAGCTGTATCCGGACCAGAATATCATTTTCATTTCATTAGAGTGTGTTTGTAACATATGAAAAGAAAATGGCAACAAAACTTTTCTGTAGACAGCCGGTTCCCCCTTATGCATTCATACAATTCATTCAATCATATATTCTTTCATATAATTTCTCTCAGCAGGCTGCCTTCAGTTATTTTCACACAAAACTTAATAAGTAGTTAATATGTATAAGAAACAATGCACAGTTAGAATATAATGGCCAATAGTTTAGCAACAAATAATCAATAAACCTAACTCTGCTTGCCTCATTAAATATTTAAAGTGCTTTGTCACAGAAACATTAATGTGATGCATTTCTTTTAGTTTGGGAGAAATAAATGTTGAATTGTGGTGTAAAACACTTTAATTGGAGTGGAGAATAAATATACAGTTTTTAACCATTTAAATCTTACTATTACGGTCCAGAAAGTCTGGCCAGGACAAAATGGATGGCACATTCAGCAATATATATATATATATATATATATATATATATACTGTATGTTGCATAAAGCAAGACAAGGCCGTTACTTAAAACACGTCACATAAATGTGCAAAGTGAAACCTAGAAACCTGAATAGCAAGTATCATGGTCTGGATGCCTAGATACACACCCATTATCTGTAACATACTCAAGCACTCTAAACTTACAAAAGACTTGTAAAACGTTTCACAACAGACTAGAAATGAAAGTTATGTCATTTTGTCTGCTTCCTATTCTGAACAGTTTGAACTTTCTCTTCCCAGCAAACTGGAAAACTACATCACGCTACCTGCTTATATCCTCAATGAACTTTTCAGGGGATGTGTCACATGTGTCTCCTGTTACATCTAGTTCACAGTCATTCACAATGCAAAGTCCCAGGTGGGGCTAGATAAACATCAGCCAACAATTAAAGGACTCACATGAGACTCCTTTTTGTTCACAATAGCTGTAAATGTTGCTTACCATATCAAATGATCACATGCATATTGCCATTCCAGACATATAAAAGTATACAGTGGAACAAATTGTCACCAGGCCTGTAGTGCTTTATAGATATAACAGGGCACATTTGGACAAAGTCATAGCACTATACTATGCATCTTGTACTCTAAGCTTAGTTGTCAGTTACTTAGAAGTCCGGAAATGACCACCTGAGATAAAAAATAAATTAAAAAAACTTCAAGTTGTCTCATAAAAGTCTGTCATCATTTCCTCACTCTCTAGTAAGAGACTGACAGCCTCAGTCACTACTCACGGCATCTCTTTTTCTCTAATAAGAATGAATGGTGACTGAGGCTGTCATTCTGCTTGATATCACCCTTTGTTTTCCATAGAACAAAGAAGGTCATACGCGTCTGAAACAGCATAAAGGTGAGTAAACATGACAGACTTTTGATTTCTAGCTGAACTCTCCGTGTATACACCATCGCGTCGCGTATGTTGAGACAATTCTTCACGTTACCTGACCGGTTATGCCTGTAATGATGGCCACTTTCCTCTTCGTCTTGCCGTCTCCGTTCACATCGCCACTGGCCGCCGCCAGCGCTGCACACTGAGCCATTTTCTGGAGCTGGTTTCGGTTCGGAGTGTGTCTGTGGGGTCGGGATCCACTGTGCAAGATCGTTTGTCATGAACGGATGCAAACACATCCGAAGCTCCAGCTGCTTGAGCGACACATCAGGAACCTGCACTCAGCAGCCAATCACAGAGCAGAGCGCCAGTGACGTGCGCACCACAGAATAAAGAGGAGCGAAATCCTGATGGCTTGGGGTGTAAATGTGTCACAGCGCCCACTAAAGGAATCGAGATTCAGGAGGAATTAAACAAACCACTTTTTAGGTTCTCACTTTATTAGCTTATTTATTACATATCTAATAATAATTGTTACAATTATATAATATGCCTACATTATATAATACATTCTAGGCCTAAATCACTGCTGAAATAACGGCTTCAACTAGTCTAGGCTGTTTTTCTGGTCTTTGCTGGTATCTCAGTCTAGTCAAGCTGGTCTGTTAGCTGGTTTTAGTCGCTAAAGGGCTTTTTTTAGGGTCACATCGTTCATACATTATTGGTTGTGCCACAACCGTAGATAAAAAAATAAAAAAACGTAAATGCCGTTGCTCCGAGAAGAGATAGAAGGAATGAACAAGACAATCAAATGTTTGTTCAAAATATATTTTAATTTAGATAATATTTAAAGTTCTAACGCACATACACAACATAAGGTACTTACAAGTACAACAACATATCTTTTAAATAATGTACAAGTACTAATATATGAAAGTACTGTATTTCCCCCGTAGTTTATGAGCTATTATATTTCAGCTTTCCACAATCCAGTCATCGCATATATAGAAACTGAAATCAAAACATAAAAATAAATAAATCTTTTATTAATGCTTAGACATCATGAAGTGATAGTCCTGGTTTTTCAGTTTTCACTTAGAATCCTAGTGTCTAAAAACACTACTTCGTTAGCCATCAGCTGACGTACAATATATTTAACTCCATTTACTATTTTGTGAAAGCATTTCAAGTAAACATCAGAAATCAGTATTTTTATATATAGAACCACACAAAACACACAATACAATTGTAGGTAGTGTTCTGTTTTTTTTTTCTTTTTCGTTTGCCTTCATGGAAGGTGAGATGTCAACTACAAAGAGAGAGAGAGTGAGCAAGACCAAAAACAGCCAGTCTTGAAGCTAGTGTCCCAGTCTCAAATTTCCAACTTAAAAAAAAAATGTGAAAACAAAAATACAATGAAGTGTGAGATCAGCAGCATTACCTAAGCATTTTGCACAATACATTTGCCCTATGGGAAACCCTCTAAATAACATTCTAAATGACATTATTGAATAAAATGTTGTAAGTGAGAGCTGTATTTGGGTCATGGTTATTTGTATCAGATAACAGTAGCTACATGCACACATACAAACTCCAAACTCTGACATTTAGACTTCCAGAAACTCAGCAGAAATGACATAACATTCAAAAAATGATAGATTATATGCCAGATTTGGACATTAACGGTGTTAGAGTTTCAAGTGTAAAATACAGTACCGTTTCCTGTGTGAATTCTAATGCATTCACAAACATTACGTGAATGAAATGTTACCATAAACCAGTGATGTACAGAATATTACCATAAGACTCAATATATTTGTGCGTATAGAGTATGAATGATGATTTCTGTTGCACTCTTAGTCATTCACATACTTCCTCCAGTTCTGGCCTATTATAAAGTACACATACAAGACCAACTTACTGTAGAATTAACTGTATGTAGTAATTTTTCATAAGACGACCAGACAGTTAAAAAAAAACACTTAAACCAGGACTGAAGTACAGGGCAAGTTTGTCATAGAGCCATAAATGGTTAACATTTTACAAAATGGTGAAATATTCTTGTAAGTGGAGAGCTGTACTTTTAATGTGTTGTGTGCTGTTTTAACTTAAGGTTGAGGTAAGTCAGTAATAGACATCGTACAGTTCAGTATTTGACTGTAATATTAAACAGATGTTGTGTAGTTGTTCAGGTACAACAGTATTGGTCCAGTGTGTCACCAAGGCATCAGGAGAGCCAATGATCACTTCTGCAGAAAACATTCAATTAAGGATAGGACAACTGAATGTTTATTATTTTTTTAACATTTAAAGGGACAGTCCACCAAAAAAAAAAATTCTGTCATCATTTACCCTTCCTTATGACTTCCTTTCTTTTGCAGAACACAAAAGAAGATATTTTAAAGAATGTTGGAGCACAAAAAATATCAACAGTCTTCAAAATATCTTCTTTTGTGTTCTGAAGTAGACAGGATTGTCATTTTTGGGTGAACTATCCATAGATATTTCAGGTTATGCATCTTACCTGTTTATCCCTCTGGAGGAGGGGCATGAGAAGAGTGACACTTGTTTTTCTGTGAGAGAAACAGGTTCATTAATTATAATTTTGCATTTTAATATATATATAATATAATTTAAATTATAATATATATAATTTTAATTTGCATTATTTCACTACTGCCATAAACTCAAAGCTGTTATTAACCTTATGGTGTAGACGGTAGTGAAGCGCTCGGTCTGAAAGCCATGGGTGTTTCAGGGACTGGGATGCACTCATTCTCCAACTGCACAAAAAAAAGAGAGACTTGCATTAAAACACAAACACCCAGGTAACTTTTCAGAATTAAAAATAGAGGATTTGTCAGACTTAGCCAACTTTTGGGGACACACAAACCTTTTGCTCTTCACAAGCAGGCGTGAGATGAAGTCTTTGGCCTCCTCAGAGATGTCGGCAAACTCTGCTTCTTCAAAACTCCACTGACATGCCAGGATGTTATTTAGTGTCTCATTATCATCCTCACCCAGGAACGGAGACAAGCCACTGAGCCTACACACGCAAACACAAGTACGTTTTACAAATCTCGCTCCTTTTGGTATTATATGATTGTTCATTGGTGTCTAAGGACTCACAGCATGTAAGTGATGACACCTAAACTCCACATATCAGTTGGGAATGAAACAAATTCATAGTTGATAACTTCAGGAGCCAGGAACTCGGGTGTGCCAAAGTTCACCCTCAACTTTTCCCTGGGTTTATATCTGAAAGGAAGATGAAGAACAAATTGGTGTGATAAAAGCAGTAGATCCATATGACACAGTGGCTACGTGACCATGCACAATTTTTGGTTCAATCGGACTGAATTCATTCCGATTGATGAATCTGAATGTAGTGTTGACCATGAACGCTAAATAAAGTGATCGGGTTGATGTGCGCGTTTATATGTCACAAGCTTCAAATCGGAATAGATTTTTTTTTACATGCGCACACTGCACAAATATAAATATATTATGTGCACTGTTTGCACATAATAACCACTCTCCTACACAGTTTCTTTATTTGTTTTTTAACATTTTAACAACCATTTATGGACAAATATAAGCTATAGAAACCGCAGTGCCGTGCTGCTCATATTTATCAAGCAGTAATGCCCCTCCGAGTGTTTACATGCACTCTCAATCGTATTAGAAAAGGAATAAACCACCCCCTTCAATCCGATCGAAATTTCATTCCGATCGAGCTCAATCGGATCGATTAAGGTGTTTACATGAAGGCTTTTCAGTCCGATTGAGCTGTCAATCCGATTACAAACTGATTATTTTGTTGCATGTAAACGTAGCCAGTGTAAACACATACACAGAAACAAATAGCCTACTAACCTTCTTGCAAGCCCAAAGTCAATTATCTTCACCTTGTTTGTTTGTCGACTGACACAGAGAATGTTTTCAGGCTGTTGACAAAGTAAACACAGGTATTTCAAACTTCTTGTTTTTTTTATGCTGCTGTTAAAATGCATATTATTAACAAGAATGTGTCTGGTACCTTTAGGTCGAGGTGTAATATGTACATCTTGTGCATATACTGAAGCCCTTCACTGATCTGTCTGATGAACAGAACTGTGTCCAACTCGGTCAGCTTGTAGTTCTCATCTATGATCCGGTCAAACAGCTCTCCGCCATCAACACTAGGGGGTACACAGGGTACACAAAATACACATAGAAACAAAGCATGAATGAGATTCAGTTAATGAGAGAGAATGTCTGTGTGTGGAATGTGTTTTTCGATGTAACTTACTACTCCATCACTAGAATGATTTCATGTCGAGATTCAAAGGCGGCGTAGAGCTGGATCAGATTGGCATGATTCAACTGGTTCATAACTTCAATCTCACACTTTACTACCTCCTGACAACACAAACTTGTATGAGAATCAATGATTCAATACAATTCATTTATTATGGTTTTAAAGCAGTGGTTCGAGGACCAGTGTTGATATCTAAAAACTAGCTAAACTAAATTAATACTATGAGAAAATGTTGTAAAACTGAATGAAAAGAAAAGCTGAAATAAAATACAATATAAATATTAGATGTAAAATTTAAATAAAAAAACTAGAAAATAAGGAAATGACTAAAACTGAAATATTAAAAAAAGAAAAAAGCAGATAACCACATTACTAAAACGTAAACCAAAATTAAAACTGAAAATACAAAAATAAAAGCTGATCCAAAACATTAATTAACACTATAATAGTATATACGGTATATAATACTAAAAATATCACTGTTGTGGGTCACCAAGTAGTCCATAAGTTACTTGGGTGATTAAAAAAAAAACAGGAATGATGTCTTAAAATGGACACAGGCATTTACCTTCTCTTTCTGACTCCTGGCTTTAATGATCTTGGCTGCTAATACGAGGCCAGAAGATTTCTCTACACATTTGTGCACCATGCCAAAGCGCCCTCTATCAAAATCAAAATAAGACAATAAGAAACACATTTAAATCACAAAATTTGGAAACTTTAAATTTCCACATTCTTTTTAATACCACAAAGGAAATGTACTGTAATCTCCTCTTGTTTCTAGGTATTTACTTTCACTAAGGGCTAAAAATATTCAGCATATCTTACTCTCTCGATGTCTCCCCCCCACACACACACCTGTCTGTCACTTTCATGCCCTTGTGTATCATGTGTCCTGTAAGCTCTTAAAATGCTTAGCAATCTTATGCCATGGGTTCACTGTCACAGGCATCTTACTTTAAAAATTCCTTTGATGTAAACAAATGTAATATAATATGATGCAACATAAATACTAACTCACCCTCCAAGTACTTCCTCTTTATTGATAGTGTAGTAACTTGTA